GTGTGTGTGTGTGTGTGTGTGTGTGTGTGTGTGTGTGTGTGTGTGTATTACAGAGAGTGAGACAGTAAAGAGGTAGATGTGATATAAAAGATAAGGAGCATCGTGCTGCAACCCTGTGATCTAGAGACCAAGCGAGTCATAGCAACTCCCGACTGTGAGACGACGTTTAGAAAAGTAATCAGTTCATCTGCAGACACTGAATATAGAATATAGATATAGAATAGTTTTAACAAAGCATTTTTCAAAAACACATTAAGGGAAATGACAAACTTGAATCGAAAAAACAAACCTTATCTTGTCTGAATGACGAATGAAAACACATAAAAGACGAGGTATTGATTCTTGAACTGACAAAGTAAAAGTGATCAGCAGCACAGGAGGAGCCAAAGCACTAAACTCAGCTGCTAGTCAATTATAATTAACAAAGACCGTTATGAATGCATGTATATTCTAAACAACGATTCAAATGATCAGTATGTCAACTGATTACCTCAGCTTGAACCGACTTTTTGAGATTATCTTTCAGCATTTGGCTTTGAAGTTTCACAAGAGAGTGACAGAAAAACATCACGAAGGAGAAATGGGGACGAATCTCTGGCCCGACTCAAACCAGCCGCGTGCGCCTTAAACCAGCGGAGCACCAGGATAACAGACGTCAAACTAGAGATCAACCGATATGATAGCCATCGTTTGGAGCAGGAAAAAGGTGATTATGTCATTATGTTTATGGAGCCTCGATGTGAAACCATAGACTGTATATAAGAAGTGGACGTCGTCATCGTGACGTCACCCATTGGTTTGTGGACGTTTTGAAGCCTCGAGTTGGCGACTCAATCGTCGCCATCTTGGATTACAGTCGTTGCCATCTTCGCTTTTTTGCAACCAGTGAACCCGAAGCGACCATATTTAGACTGAGGAGGAGTAATATAGAGACGCCGTAAAGGTCTCTAGTAGAGACCTGTCAATCACTGTGTAGCCCCGCCCTAAAGCATCCCCTGCTTTATGGTCTGTTTGACTCTAAATGGACCATAATTTACTAAATGAACATCATGCTGTATTGAAGAAGACTTGAAACTAGAGATTGAGACCATAAACTCATGTTTACAATGTTTACTGAGGTAATAAATCAAGAGAGAAGTAGAGTCATTTTCTCATAGACTTCTATTCAACCAGAGGAGTCGCCCCCTGGTGGACACTAGAGAGAATGCATGTTTTAAGACACTTCCTTCTGCATTGGCTTCACTCGTCAGAACCGGAGGTTGTCAGCCATCGGCCTCTAACAGAGCTCATTTCCACCGATAACGACAGCTTGCAGAACGTTCTGTCTGTCGACCTCTAACCCAAACTCACTAATTTAATGTTTCCTCTCTTTATCATTCCAGCTCATTCCTCTTAGACACTTAGTGCAAATTGTTTTCATATGACACGGACGCCAATTAAGCATGAATTGAATCAAACTGAATTAAATTGAGGGATGGAATACAATTGATTGGCAAGGACAAAGAATTTAATTGCTGTTGGACGCTTTCTATTAATAGAGCGATGCAAATGTAATTTGCCAGTTCAGCGGACTCTGAGCTATAAGGGCAGGCTAATTTGGCGGCCTTATAAAACACCTGAGGTTCACAGGGTTGGAGGGTATTCAGAGGTGACAGAAGTAGGACGAGGTGGGAAGCAGCTGAAGGGGTGATAATGGGGCTTGTTTCAGTGCTAAGTGTGATGAGGTGGTAATAAGGTAGTAGATGTGGGCAGAGGTGCTGAAGGTCTGAGCGAGGACTGGAACATCACATTAAAAAAAACAGTTTACCATGAAATGACTCGTCCTGTCATTATCTACAGCAGTGGTTCTCAACATGGAGGCGCATAAGATCACATAATTCATCCTCTCATTCTCTTACTCGTGCTCCCCAGAGGTTGAAGCATGCAAACGTTTGTGAGCCCTTTACATTTCTTCTATCGCCACCATGAGGTTGATAGTTTTTGGGGTTTTGAGAGAAAGTATCGGGATGAATATGCATTCATGAATGCATTCATGTTCCCCGCAGGATGAACACTATCGTTGTGAATTGTCGTGACAGCGCCATCGTTAGGTCAAAGTTTAAATTTGAACAATAGTTTTTCAACAAATATCTGTAAAACTAAAACAGGTCCCATGTGCTCAAGCGGTTATCTGTGTTTAGTGCTGATTAGAAACTGTTAGTATGCTGACGTGCTAAATGATGGTCAACCCATCCTCAGATAACGGTTTGCATGATATCTTACGAAAAGTTACTCCTCATTTGTCATCTTCCTATGAAAGCCAGCAACACGTGCCAATTTCAGCTTGTTACATACATGTGGTCCTTTCAAAATAAACCTCCGTTCTTTAAAAGGAAACAACTCAGTTAGGTTTAGGCAACAACACCACTTAGTTTGGTTTAGGAAAAGATCACGTTTGGGTTAAGATGACTGAAAGTGCCGTTACTGAGGTGCACAAGTTCCGTGACAATGAACTTTGACTTCTGGTTTCTCACGGGGAACGTAACAGCGTCTCCTGGCTGATAGATCGCTGTTTGTTGGACACATCCACCTCCACTCCTGTGCATTACGTGCATAACATACGACAGATTTCGTGGGATACCTACGAATTATGGCGCATTATTCTTCGTGAATACCGTCATGTTAACGTTGTCTTTGTTTGCATGTTAGCATGCAGATGCTATCGTTTAGCAGCCTCATAGAGCTACAAGCGAGAAAGGGGACTCTGTGTTGGAGGGAAAAGATGCCAAAGTTTCGACGAGCAAGTGATGTGTGTGGAGAAGCAATGGTGAAGGAGAGGTTTAAAGAATAAAGGGCTGGAGGTGAGAAATAAAGAAAGAGCCAAACTTGTTGAACAGCAGCTGATGCACCTGCAGGCGGTTTTGGTTCCCACTGCACTCCACACAACCCAACACACACTTTCAGCTATTCTCCCTGAGCGGTTCTCCAGATACATTTACAATTCTGCTGTGATTTAGCGGAGCCTTGAGTCGTACCGCCTGTCAGGTCTGATTCATCTGCAATGGATTCACCAAAGATTAAATATTGATCTCACAATAAATGTTGAAAAGAGGATGAAAATACAAAATAAGCTGGAGTGTGAAGGGAAGTTTGTCTCTGATCCGAGCCGTGATGGCACGATTTACCGCGACCGTTACAGGACTCTCGCACTCATTCACGTCAGCAACTTTGTAAAAATTGCACACTTCGGTGATCTCTTACACCTTCACAAGCAAATGAGTGCTCGCTCGGTGTCTCTCCAACTCCTTTTGAATATAAAATATGTGAAGCAAAAATTAAAAAGGACAAATGAGAGAGAAAAGAGGACGGAAACACCTGAGGGATTTGAATATGGAGAGCAGAAGAAAAGGAAGTTAAGCGAGCAGAAAATAAAGAGGACACGGAGCTGCGATTAGAGGTGAGATGTTTAACGGATAGAGAGAAATACAGGGGGGGGGTGACAGATCACAGAGATAAAGAAATGAGACGCGGTAAGAGGTTAATGAAAGAACACGGATAGCGAATGAGAGCTTGGGCTGATAGGACTTTCATTCCCCGGCTGTGGGGCCCCGACGCTCTCCGCTCCATGCTAATATACGTCTGCAGCAGGCTCACTTGTTTAACAGCATTTCAAACTTAACATGGAACCACATTACTTCTGCTTCAAATGGATGTTGAAAATGTTGTTCTCCACTCGTTAACCAAAGGAAGAAAAACATGAATTCAAAGAAATGCATGTGACTGAAAGAGAAAATATGGAAAAGGTGTCGCCTATTCGTAGATGAGTCCTATATTTGACTTTTGATTAGTAAATAGAATTGCAGGAGAAGGATTTAAACAACATAGTTGCATTTGTATTTTAGAGGAACTACACCAATGTTCAAGCTGGTCTCGTCCATCATTCGTAGCTGTACCTACGAATAACAATGCGGCGTAATTGAATATGTTATCCACGTTATCTTAAACGAGTACGTATAAAGACAGCTAAATCCCACAGGGCAGGCGGGAGGGGAGCTGGATGGGTCCAACAAACGGCGATCTATCAGCGAGTAAAACGAGAACTCAAAGTCTATTTTGAAAAGACCGTATTCATGTGACGAGAGGAAATTGACACGTGTTGCTACACTTTTGTAGGAAAACGCGCAAAAAATGAGGAGTAACTTTCTGTAGGACATCATACGAACAGCTGTATGAGGAAACGTTGCAATGTTCCCCATGAAGGTTACCCGTCATGGGGAGGACTAATACGCCTGTAAAAACAGTTGTAACGTGTTTTACAGGTCCTCAAGGTTGTCTGGAGTTAGGCTCGAGACTGAACGTATGAAACAGAAAACCTGCGTTGCAAACTGAAAGTGTGGAGCTGCTGTTGAGTTGCATTATGGGGATTGTAGGAGCCAGTATTTTTTGGGGTTTGACCCTACGAGCCTCCGCTGCACCAACTCTACCTGGGACCACGTCGCCTCAGGAGACCCTACTACTGTTGCTGTTGGTTCAACTTTTACTGCACTCAATACATTTTTAATATCAATCACTCATCTCTTCTTCCACCATTCACTGAGTAAAGCAACTGTCAAACTTACCCGTAGCGGTTCAGTTCTGATCTACACTGGAGTGCATTTTAACTGATGAACTTTTGCTACTCGTAACTCCAACAAAGCTCTAAACTTCTTACAGCCACCTCTCAAGTCTACAGACGCTGGAGTGTTTGAAACTGTTTAGCAA